TAATTCTAAAAAAAATTGGGATAGGATTATAATTTTCATAAACACATAAATGCAACTCAAATTTCCCATTCCTTCTCACTTTGGTCCAGAAATCCTTCGGCCTTTAATTTCTCCTTTGGATCTTCAACTATTTTGGCCCACATAAAGCTTACTTATTCTCCAAATTGGCTTGAATTAAGACTTTTCCTTTTCTTCCGAATTTGATCACCTAAAACAAAAAAATTAAATCTAATTAAATTAAATTAATTAAATGAAATAACGAACGAAATATATTTTATGGTAATAAATATAATATAAAAATATTTCCAACATTCAAAAAAAAAAAAAAAAACTCCTTCAGATCAAATATAAGTTGGGATTTTAGAGTTGAAAAATGGGTTTAGGGTAAAGGTTTAGCAATCTGTCAAAAGGGGCATTTCCATCTGTAAATTGTGTAAAATGGAATTGAGCTATATTTTGAGAGACGTTCCAAAAAGTGTTAGTTTTCAACTCCTTCCCACTAAAAATTGGGTGGTGTGAATAACTTTTTTTTTGGGTAATGTTCGGGCCATTGTTTGAAAACCCGGACCGAAGGGAATTCGTTTTGCTGCTCGGGTCATGGGTCAACCAGTCCAAACGGTTGGATTGATAACGTCAACGACAATTTTATTTTTAAAAAATTACATATTATCCCTCAAATTTTATATATTACAAAAATTCCCCTAAAAAGTTTAATTAGTCCCTAAATTTTTTATTTATTTAAAATGCCCCCCAAAAATTCATTAATCCCTAAACTTTTGACATATCTTAAATCACCCCTATAAAATTATAAAATAACCCTTATAATTTTAAAATTTACAAAAACCCCCTAAGACCTGAACCGGACCGGAGAAGCTGCCGAGTCCCGGTCTGATTTTTAAAACAGAAGTTCGGGGTCCATTGAACAGCCTATCAGCAGTGTGAATAACTTCACCTCTTCCCCATTTGTTATAAAGAAAAATTAGGCAAGCCTATGCCAAAAGGAGCAATGGTTACTTGGCTTCTTTCCTTTATTCAGTCTTGTTTTCACATTTAGTCAACTTCACAAACTCACATTTTTCTTCCTTCATCAACAAACCCAGAAAGTGACCCAGCAAAGCCTATCCCTCGTGCTTTGACCAAGTCTCTTAACCTGGAGAAGCTTTTCACTATAATAAATTAATAATATACACTCATGAAATTAACCAATAACAAAGCTTGTGCATCCTATGTATGCTAACATGGCCCTCCTTCCTTGGTCGGATGTAGGTAAATCCGATTGCACATAATTTCCCCCTAACTTATTCCTCAAGGATGAGGATGTTTCAAGGAAAATTCCTGCCACCTAAACTTGATTTCAAGTCAGTCGCTGATAAGAATCTAATGCTTTAAAATTCCATCTTTAATTTATAAGCTAACAAGAAGACCAACAATTGTCAATGAACAAGCAAATCTTTCCCAGCAAAAATCATGGAGAAAAACTCTAACCCTGGTTCTACTTCTACCAATTCCAGGGCTTCAAGAATTGATCTTGTTTGCCACTATCAGTTCAACAAGAAATCATCTCAAATTTCTTTTCTAAGTGTTGACAACAAATCTGGAGTTACCAGCATCAACCCTGAACTTGGTTTCTCTTCCAAAGATCATATCAAAATTCTTTCTTCATGCTATGGATTCATTCTTTTGACAAGTAAAACCAAGAAGAATCAGCTCAACTTCCATGTCTTCAATCCTCCAGCAAACCAATTATTCACTCTTCCTCAACCCTCCTTCGCTCGGAAAATCGTCAGGTCCGGCCTGGCTTCTCATATGCATCATCATCATTTCCAGGTTGTACTTGTGCATATTTCTTCAGGTTCAGCACTGGAATTTGGAATTTTCTCTTCTGAAACTGGTGAGTGGAAAACTCACACACCCGGCGATCTTTTTTCGCCTGTTCCTGTAAAACAACTCTTTCCAGAGCCTCCAGTGCCATCTCTTTACTCAAATGGTTCCATTCATTGGGAAGTACTTCAACACTTGCTGGTTTACAACGTTAAAACTGGTCACTGTCAATTCATCAAACTGCCTGATGTATCCGAAGACGGCCATCGTCACAAGCCATCCACGAGAGTGTTCAAGAGATGTTTGTGGGAATCCGAAGGCCGAGTTCGCTATTGTTACACTGATAATGAAGGGATTCATACTTGGTATCTACTCAATGAAGAAGATGTTGATTTTCACATAAAGTATCACAACATTGACGCCGAAAAGTTCAAGTGGGCATTATCGGATAGTCTTAGTCATCAAACTTTCCGGGGCCTGAGTAGAAATTGGAAACCTCAGGATATAGCCCCTTTTGCATACAATGAAGCTTCACAGAAAATGTTCCTGCAGCTTCCAGGAAGTGTCATTTCTTATAATACAAAGAGTGGAGTGTTGGAGGAAGTTTTCACTTTCAAAATTCAAGGGAAAAAATACAATTGCTCATTCTTTCCTTTTGTTTATTGTGGCCAGGGGAAGTTGCGATATGTAGATGAAAAGTCAGAAGCCAAAGTAGAGATTGAATTGCCTGTAAAAGAAGTTGGAGGTTTCTTGTCATTTTAGAGAAGATTTTCTTGGGAAAATTTTGTTAAAATTTAGCATTTTATGTGTATTGAGTGTGACAATGAGAAGAATCAGGTAATCCAAACATTTTAATCTTGTTATTTCCCTGAACTTTTGAAGTATAAGTTCTTCATCACTTTATGAATTTGATCGAATGTTTATATGTAGTTCATATTGTTATACATTTTGATGTTTATTTAGAGATCATAACATACGTATTGATCTACATGATCAATTGATGCTGTAAATTATTGATTAAATACATTTTCCAAGTAGGTTTAGTGAATGTACTGATTCTAAAAAGTTTCACTCATAAGTTGTATAAAAATTAACAGTGGAAAGACGAAATTGGTAATTTGTTGAAAGAGTTTATCTTATGTACCAATAATTTTCAAACATTATTAAATATTAAATAACTTGCCATCAAGAGGGATTTTGATAATCTTATTTTTTTATAGTCTCAAAGAATTTAATAGGGTTTTAATGTCACTAATTAATTGCCTTGAACAATGGCAGCGGCGACAAATATACTGACTTAATCAGGCTTGCCTGCATAGTTTTTTTCATTCGAGTAAACGTCATTTTCCCATCCAAGGTTTGGTGAATCTACAGTCTCCCACCCTTGGTTTCATAAATTGCAGATTCTCATCCTTAAATTAACGCCGTTACTTTTCTCATAAAATAACCCTTATATCTCAAATTTCTCTCAAATAACCCCTAAAAGATCTCGACCAAGCCAAGAATCCGGCCTGATTTTGACACCATTGGACCTCCTCGACACCACCATCAGCATCTCCTTATCCTCCTCACCAAAACCCCTAACTTTTTCACCCGATTGCACCTCGGCGAGATGCTAGAATTTGGCTAGAAAGGTGCAACAAAACGTGAAAATCTACGGGAGAGGCGACGACAATTGGCAGTCCATTACGGTTGGCGGTGTTGGGGGTTTTGATGGGGGGAAGCCAGTGATGCTATTGGTGGTGTTGGGGATGGTTTCCAATGCCAGAACCTGCTGGAATTTGGATAAAACGCCGACTAAAACTAAGAGTGGCAGTTGACGATTGGAGGGTTCAATCAGGCAAGGAGGTTAGGGGTTTTGATGTGAAGATTGAGGGGATTGTAATGGTAATGTCAAGAGAGGTCGACTACACCAGAAACAGGCCAGAATGGCTTGAAATCGTCGGTGGAGTGAATTTGAGAAGTCAATGGTTATTTTGAAATTTTTATTTTTAAAATGACAATTTTACCCTTTTAACTGTTAGATTAAATAGTTATTTGTTACTTTAAGGGTCAGAATTTAAGGGTGAGAGAATCTGCAATTTATGAAACCAGGGGTGAAAATGTAGATTGCCAAACCTTGGGTGGGAAAATGTTGTTTACTCTTTTCATTTTTATCGTACTAGCAAACGACCCACTTGTTTTTTGTCGGGCACTTTTCTTTCAACATACTTTGTGCTTGAGAGACTTCCTCTATATATTATTTCAAAAGTTTGGATTAAATAAAAGAAAACAAACAAATAACCCCTGATATTTTTATCTTTAAATTTAGTGTTCACAACTTACAAGATCCCCATTCAAGAACTTTTGCTCTGTTTACACTCTTAGATATATTTTGATTATTCTATTCATACTACCAAAGGTTGACAAGAAAGGAAGTGACAAAGTAAAATCTTCCCCACTTATTCCTGATTTTATTTTAGGTGGTTTAGGTCTTTTGGTTCACTATTCTATGCTTTTTATAATATTATTTTAGAAAAAATAAAATTAGATTATCTTTATGAGAATGATAATTATTAATGTTTTAAGTGTTGAATAAAATATAATTGAAGTTTGGGAATATTAAAATAAATGCATTTTTGGATTTTTAAAATAAAATAGTGAAATAGGATAAGGTAATAATAGTGAGGGCCCCTTTGGATCCCTATTTTTACCTTATTTTATTTCACTATCTTATCCTAAAAACCCAAAAATGCATTTGTTTCAATATTTTTAAAATCCAATTCTATTTTATTCAACTTAAAACATTAATAATTATTTTTCTCGTAAAGATAGCTCAACTCAACTTTATTTTTTTTTTAAATACTATCATAAAAAGCATGAGAATAGTAAACCATCGGAGCCTTTAGAATCCATAAAAATACTTCTCGAATTCACAAAAAAAAACATCGAATCTATATTTAGAATACTTTCAAAGAAACCTAGGATAGCATATTGATAAAGCCAAAAAGATCGAATTTGACAAACTGTAATTAAAACAGAATATCACTAACGGACTATTAAAAGAAAAGAGAAGGTGTTTAGCAGCGAAGTTAGGTGGTTTCAATTTATTAGTTAACAATAAGTAATCATAGAAGGCAATATTCCAAACTATTTTATAAGTAATCTATTAATGCTTGACACAGAAATGAACAAAGGTCTTGGAATAAAAATAAAAGAATGTACTGCTCTATTATTTCCTAAATGGAAAAGTGTACAACTTTCAAGTTTCTTTGTCAGCAACACAAGTAAAACTTATCCCTATCTTCAAACTACAAAAACACCGCTACCACATACAATGAGATAGCTTACTGGTTACTAATTATCCTAAAAACTCACTAGCAGAAGCCATTTTTTTTTCTTTACCTTTTGTCCCTCCTAGAAAAATAAGACAATCAGCAGAGCAGGCATCCACAACTTTCTGCAACCTAGACCGAAATCTATACCTCAAAGTCCGGAACTCAAGCAGCTGCTGGGATTGGCCCATCAGATCTGAAACCCTGACCACGTCCACGGCCTCTGGCCCTGCCTCGTCCACGCCCTCGCCCTGAAGGTTGCAAATATTTTAATATCAGACCAAAGAAACAGAGTATACAAGAGTTTAATTATTGAAATTTAGATACAATCAAATTTTCAATCATACCAACATAAAACTCAGTCACAGCTACAACATCACAGACTCAATGATACAACAATCATAAGCACCAAAAGGCCCAAAAGAATTATTCAATATTTACTAATTTCTGGTTCATGATTTGACATCCTCAATCAATTTTTATAAATCAACTGAAACTTTCTTTATAGATTAACGCATATCCTGGAAATAAATTTGCCAATGACATATTATAAAACTTACCACGGCCTTGAGCAGGAGCGAAACCTCCCCCATAGTCATTATAATAACCACCTGATCCTTGTCGCATATTCCCACCACCATAACCTCTTCCACGGCCACGGAAATTGCGGCTTCTTCCACGACCTCTACCCCTTCCAGCATACCGGCCACCATCCCAGCCACCATCTCCATTGGATTCCAATACTCCATTACTATTATTAACTATATACAAACAAGATAAATTATTGTAAATTATTCCCCCTCCATCCTACCAAATTAACAAGCTAGTAAATTGCAAAATGAACTGATGCCACACAGGAATATTGTAGCCATAAAGAAATGATGTGCCAACAAATTCAGAATAACTATTTCCATTTCCAAGGTAGGAATCCAGAGTTTTCCCTATTTATCAGCTCTATTCATTATCAATAGACCCAATATGTGATTCACATGCTAAGATTTCAGAAGTACTTTCCACTTTCCATCCATCTCAAGAAACAAAATAGATACGCACATTTACAAGAGGTATTATAATATAGTATAAAATAATATTCAATGGCACCAAGGCTTACATTAACATTTCATCAAAAAGTCATGGTTTACATGATATGAAATGTAAGCAGAAGATATGGCCAGTGTAAAATCCTGACTATAGTATAGTCAAAGAAAATCGGGCCAGGGGATATATAACCCATCAGAACAGGGAGACCCGACGCAATCTGTCATCAGCCAGAAACCTAATCACCAAATTAGGCACAAGGGTCTACAAAGTATAATTTTCTTCAGAAAATAAAAGCACTGGTAGCCAAAGTTTACCAACATAGTCATCAAATTCAAGCTCAGAAATTAAAAGAAAAAAAAGCCCATCCACCCTCCCAGCACAATAAAATAAGTAACTAAAATGCTGTAGCAATGAATTTTGTCTCTACCTCTACCCCTTCCTTGACCGCCACGTCCTTTACCCGCCATGTTTGGAGAGCCCTCTATGTTACATCATAGATAGATAGAAACAAGTAAGAACATTTTATGCATCAATAAGTTTACAAGGCTTAAAATTTCATATTAACCAAAAAGTTTTAAAAGGGTTAAATCAAATACCAAAAATTGATGCTTTTACCTCCATCATCATCATGTTCAACCCATGGTTTGACCTGCTCTGCTGGAATAGGCAGTTGATACCTGCAGAAGGATAATAACTTTAGAAAAAACCAGCAAATTATAAGCATAAATATTATCCAAACGGCTGAATAACTTGAACAAAGATGGTCATTTAGTAATTGATGATGTCCAACAGAGGGGAGGGGACCAAAGGGTGGCTGCAGCTGGTTACAACATACCCGGTAGAGGATGTATCCAGCTCCTTCTTGGACAAAGTAATTGTTACCACTGATACATGGCGAGTAGTTTCCAGGCTGCACTAGCAAGAAATATGTAAGCAAAATAACCATCAAGACAACTCCATACACTATAAACTGATCATGCATAAAATAGAGAGCTAAAACTCTTACGGAAGAAGACCCTCTTCTAGTGGCTCCCACATATCCGTTATATCCGTAGAACCAATGGCGGTGTTCTGATGCAGACCCACAATCCTTCTCTGAAATGGAAAACTAATTATGATGCTGAAATGACAGGAATATGGAATCAACAGGAAAATACAAAATCTCAAAGTAATGATGAGAAACTAAGATATATTCCTTTTAATATGGTTATAATATTTTCTTACAGAATAAATATAAAATAAGATAATTACAAACTAAACCAGAAAAGGGTGTAGAGAGAGCCAGAACAATTACAATACTTGTACAACCTTAATCAATTCAGCAATCATCACAGTCTTGTTTATGGCTCTCCCCATGGCTTTAAGAGCAATTTCATCAGATCCTTTCTCCTGTTAAAAACAAAGAAACGGAAGTGAAATGGCATGATAGACAAGACAGTCAAGTATGAAACTGTGGTCATGACTAAGAAACTCTAAAGAGTATGCCTTAATGCAGCAAAACAAAGCAAAAAATAAATTCAATGTCTTTATTGTAATACAAATGCTAAATGAAATGAATGTTAAAATACAACTATCCACACCAAGAGAGCAAGCCCTTTGGAAGAAAAATACATTCATCAGGCAAATTCTTCTACGAAACAAATGTATCATCATGTTAGCAGTCAAAATGGAAAAGAAAAACTGAACGTCAATAGTATAGTAAGACATAAGAGACGCCAAGCAAAACAAATTATCGAAAGGCAATGACTAATACATAGAAGAGAAAATAATGACAAACAATAAAATGGTCCTTCAAACTAACTTGAAAGTCGATAGTTCAGCATAATTTAAAAGCATTCCCAAAAAAAAAAAAAAAAATGCATTTTATCTCACTGCTCGAAATTACACCTCTCAAAGAAATTCTCCACTCTCTTTTCCCCTTACCCCTTTCCTCTTAAGACAAAACAGCAACACTCACAAACACGCAACAATCAGTAGAAAACAAACATGGTAATTACTAAACATACAATACATAAAAAAAAAATTAAAAACGCCTTTTTAAGCAAAACAAACAGTGCCGTTTACATTATCAGCTTCCATTCTTATCGACAGCTTACAAAACAAAGATAAAACAGAGAGAGGACCTGAAGGAGAGTGGTGGCGTAAGTAATGTAGTTCCTCATCCGTCCTTGCGTTGTAATGCGAATCTCATTCTCGTTAATCGGTGTTTCGGCTTTCGGCTTCTCCACTCTCTGGTACCGATCCATTCTTTTCGTTTGCAAAACCAGAAGACGGAAACAGAGTTATGCAAGAGATCTGAAAGCAACTTAAACAAATAAACAAACACAGAGAAATTAGGGTTAGGGTTTTGTGGAGGCTGCACCGTTTTAGCTCTCACCTTTGTTTCGGATTTCGATGCTCGTTTCGTTGAGTTTGTTTGCCAGTAGAGGGCCCTAGTTAATTTCTCACTGGTTTGGATAACAAAATTCGAAAATAATGGAATATTTCACAACCTCCCTAGAGTTTAAATAAATCCAAAAAAAACCCAAAGGTTTCCGATTTCAACACCTAAATACTTTAATATTTTATACAAGTAGACAAAGGCATTTTCTATTATATTTCTGTATTATTATTTCTATATACACACAATGAAAGTGATGGTGCACATTTAGTCATTATATCCTAGTTGATTTAAGAAGTTATCTGAATCTACATTACAAATTCAACAATAAAAGTTATTTAACAATAAAAATTCAAGTGTATTAATTGATAAAGCATAGTATTATTGGTTTTTTAACTGTATCAATAATCACACTAACAATGGTGTTTATGGTAGGTATAGATAAAAAAAAAATTCATATCAAATAACATATTATTTTCCCTTCTCTATTTTTGCCTTGATTAACATTCTTTCGGTAGTATTTTTATTTCTAAAAACCTTGTGGGTTGTAGATATTTTCCAAAAATAGGGGTGTTCTTGTAAATAACCTAAAATAAAAGTTTTGGAAGTTAAATTAAAAAGTAGTTGTTTGAGTATCGGCTGGGAGACCGCGTGAAGAAGTGAGATTTGCATTTGTGATGATGACGTGGCGGAAGCAGATCCGTTGTACTTTTCAATTTTGTCGGGCCCACCATATACAAACTAATAAAAAAGAAATGCCTAAGCGGCTTGCTAACCGCGCCTAAAGGATTTCTATTTTTGAATTTTGACACGCGTGATTTTGATTAGTCTACAATAATTGACACGTGTTATGCAGCGGTAGAAGGCTGCATGAATTGGACCCAGATAGTACCCGGATCGGCCTGGCCCAACTGAATGTGCCCACACCACACCATAATTCATCTTTCTTATGGGCCCTAAATTATTAGCTCGGGTCGGGCATTGACTTTGATTAGCCCAACCCTAGATATTTTCTTTGCCCTGCCTTTTTTTTTTTTTTTTTTTTTGGGGTAACTGAGATATCTAGGCCTTTATTAGAGTTTATCTAATCCTTAGGGTCATAGACCCTACAAGCCTAATAGACCAAGGTAATTACACAAATATAATAGGTATTTTTCTTGCGACTCAAACACCAGACTCCTAGGTATAACTAACCTTAATGGCTAAAGGGTTTGTCATCCAACCACAAAGGGAGAAGTTTAAATCATATTGTTTAGTCATCAATAAAACTATGTGTGCATTTCTAGAATAATTTGAGTCGTCGACGACACTAGATCAACAAGAAAAAGAAGTCATCACCATTCATGAATCTCTAAATCAAAAAATTATTACTGTTATTGTGGGGTTTTCCCAACCTAAACCCTCATGATAGGTGCTCCTAGCTAGGGACCTTTACACTAAATTTCAAAAGGCCTTGAATAGAGATGGCAATATGTGAGCCCGAAAATGACAAAATAATGGTCCTATCCTACTTGAAAAAATAGTACTGAAGGTCAACTCAATAACGATACATATACCTTTTATATGACACGCGGATATAAATAAAAACAATGCACATATCTTAAGAGAAAGTCTAATTTTAGTAGGTCTATCAAGTGAATATTCACAATTATCATCATCAAGAAACTATGTGTGTGTTTCTAAAATAATTATTGCTATCGTCGTCACCAGATCAACAAGAAAGAAGCCATCACCATTTAATGAATCTCCAAATCAAACAATTACTATTATTGTTATGAGGATCATCAACTTAAAACCTTATGACAGGTACTCTTAGCCAGAGAGCCTTACAATAAATTCCAAAAGGCTTTTCATTTAAAATAATAGTTTATGGGCTCAAAAAGGACAACATAATGGTCCTACTCTAATTTTAAAAAAAAAAAAAAACACAAGAATGTCACAATTTAATAACAATACGTGTATCTTTTATTGATGTTGTACAAATATACATATAAACAATGCACATATCCCAAGGGCATCTTTAATTTCAATAGGTCTGTCAAGCAAATGAATATTCAAAGTTATCATCATCAAGAAACCATGGGTGCGTTTCTAGAATAAGTCATGTCTTTATTAGATCAACAACAAAGGAAATTATTGTCATTTAATGAATCTCCAAATCAAATAATTATTACCATTGTCATGGGATTACCAACCTAAACCCTCATGACAGGTGCTCCTAGTTGGAGAACCTTACACTAAATTTTAAAAGGCAGTTAATATAAATGATAATTTGTGGGCTTGAAAATGACAAAGTAGTGCTCCTAAGTCCTACCCCTAAAAAAAAAAAATGAATGTCACAATTCAATAACCATACGTAGACCTGGCAAAACGGGTGGGTCGAGTGGGTACGAGCCAGGTAAAACGGGTAGGAATAAAAATGGATTGGTTCTAAATGGGTCCAAAATATTGAACACATGCCCTACCCTATATGGGTATGGGTCAACCTGTGGGTACCCATATTTTCTGTTGGTTTTTGGATCGAATACGTAGCGGAAAATAAAATTTCTCGATCACAAAAACCATAAAAACCAATAATCCAATTACGGATATACATCAATTTAATACAAGTAAATACTTAAATTAAAGTTTAATGTTATATCAGTGTTTGGAGGCTTCTCCGATTGATGTGAAACGCTCCCACTCTAAGTTAGGAATGAACTCCTAGTATTCACACGAAGACGGCACAAACGTCGTTAAGGAATTTTTAGGCTAGGAAATTCACTCAACTATAAGAATAAATTCAGCAGAATTTTTCTTTGACAGAAAAAATTTTCTTCTCACAAATGGACACTCACGGTGTTGAGAGAGAGAGAGAGAGAGGAGGCTAGGGTTTCAATTTTGCAACTCATGAATTTCTCTTCATCCATTCATTTAATTTTAGTTGCACTTAAATAGTGCACACTAAAACCCTATTCCAATTTGGAATAGCCATCTATTCCAATTTGGAATAGCTAACAACTTATTCCTAATTGAAATAGATTCCCCTTGTGACCAAACATGACATTTCAATTCAAATTTAAAATCAAATTTGAATTTCACATTATCAATATATTCATTATACTAAATTTCACTCTTTATAATTCCTTACTACTCCTCAATGCCCACCAAGTGTTATATCCAAAGTCACTACTCAATCTTCCTTTTCTGATTGACTGAAAAAGGAAACACAAGCAAAAACTTTTGAGGTGTAAGAAGCAATCGAGGAGACACAAAGAGTAGTAAAGGAAGTACAAGTAGCAGTCTCAGGTCAAAGGGATCAAGGAAGAATTTCTTCTGATATTGCGGCCACTCTTTCAGAATCTCATCCTGAGACCTAAGTAGGCCATTCTCTTCGTCAAGAAAGATCGAGCAGCACAGAAGCCTTGACTTCGAGCTTAGGGCATAAATAATTCAATTTCCATATGAAATTAAGTGTAGGCAATAACCTCAGCAAATTTAATTGCATTGTGAGATTACCAAAATGCATTTTCATTTTAAAAGACAAAAATAACATTTCATCATAAATGACAAAAATGCCCATTTCATGAATCTTATTCTTAATCTGTCTTCTATGTGTGTGATTCGAAGGCTTCTCATCATATCGACAATGAATAACATCGCGATTGACAATCAATCAACCGTCTCACTAGACACAGATCAAGATTGACCTCTAGCCAAGCATTATGGCCACCTGATAAATCCGGATTCAGCGAAATCGCTAGTTATCAACAATATGGTTACCGTGCAATTCAATCATTTCATCATCTATTATCTCATCAAGACTGACACACAAAAGTAATGTCAACCTCAGATATCTTTGATATCTCGGTATTCGGTTATTAGACCAATGACCATAATAGATTGGATTAAGCTACAACTTCCCATTGTGGCTATAGATTTAATGTTGTTGCTGTCTACAGAATCACTCAGTGAGATAATTTCTCCGATACCTAAGAGTGATAAATCCTCTATCGATCCACCATAGTCTCAATACACTTTTCGATGTAGTCAATCACTATCTTTTTGATAGTTTTGAATAGAACTACGTTGGACTAGTGTGACAACACACCAATTGGTGCACAAGGTGCTCTAGTGATCTCAAGTCTAAGGATCACACGCCTCACCATCTGTTAGATGATTTATTCCACAGACACTGGGGTTCACATCTATGTAGAATCCTTTAGTGGGTATGTCCAGTGAACTCGCTTATGACAACCACCCATGTGTTGCATCAGGTTGTTGGCAAACAACCTTGATAAGTGAGATCAGTCACTGCCTGAAGACAGGGTCGTGCAACATTATGATAGTCTTACCGTATTATCTGTGTCCTTTGTAAAAATAATACTAGGGCTACGAACAATTCTAGAATGACCATCATATGTGATCATAGGGTTCTCGCTATCAAGATTTGAAACACTTGATACCCTCTTCACGGTTTTACCATCCTATAAAAATATAATTAGATCACATTATATAGATAAATGCCTTTATTGATAATAAAACATGATTACAAAGAGTCAATTTACAATATTAGATTGGCTCTATGGCACATACTCTAACATTTTCTCAATCCAGTTTTCAATTTTTGTAGTTACACCCCCACAATTTATACACTTTTCATTTTTTGTAGTTTCACCCCCATGATCAAATACTTCATAGTCAATTCAATTCACCAAACCCATAAACAATACTGGTGAAACCAAAACCACAAATGTTCTAAAGGGCAACATCAATGAATGGGCCTGAAAAGTCTGGCGAATGGAATTATATAACATTCTCTATATGTGGCATTTAATCGAACAATTAGAGAGCAATAATTATACAACTACATCTTCACAAAACTAAGGAAATTCTTACCCAAATTACAAAGCAATAACACAAACTCAAGCAGCTTCATATAAGAACTTCATCCCATATACACTTAGAAATGTATTCAAATCCAGCAAACAAGCATGGTGAGATCAGATGAAGTGAAGAATCTGAAGTTGAAATGAAAGTATGAAAGTTGATAACAAATATTCACTCATTTTAAAGTAAAATCAAACA